CTCCTTCCTCTATACCTCTCCTCACCTGATATGCTCTGCTGGAGGACTCTGCTCCTTCCTCTATACCTCTCCTCACCTGATATGCTCTGCTGGAGGACTCTGCTCCTTCCTCTATACCTCTCCTCACCTGATATGCTCTGCTGGAGGACTCTGCTCCTTCCTCTATACCTCTCCTCACCTGATATGCTCTGCTGGAGGACTCTGCTCCTTCCTCTATACCTCTCCTCACCTGATATGCTCTGCTGGAGGACTCTGCTCCTTCCTCTATACCTCTCCTCACCTGATATGCTCTGCTGGAGGACTCTGCTCCTTCCTCTATACCTCTCCTCACCTGATATGCTCTGCTGGAGGACTCTGCTCCTTCCTCTATACCTCTCCTCACCTGATATGCTCTGCTGGAGGACTCTGCTCCTTCCTCTATACCTCTCCTCACCTGATATGCTCTGCTGGAGGACTCTGCTCCTTCCTCTATACCTCTCCTCACCTGATATGCTCTGCTGGAGGACTCTGCTCCTTCCTCTATACCTCTCCTCACCTGATATGCTCTGCTGGAGGACTCTGCTCCTTCCTCTATACCTCTCCTCACCTGATATGCTCTGCTGGAGGACTCTGCTCCTTCCTCTATACCTCTCCTCACCTGATATGCTCTGCTGGAGGACTCTGCTCCTTCCTCTATACCTCTCCTCACCTGATATGCTCTGCTGGAGGACTCTGCTCCTTCCTCTATACCTCTCCTCACCTGATATGCTCTGCTGGAGGACTCTGCTCCTTCCTCTATACCTCTCCTCACCTGATATGCTCTGCTGGAGGACTCTGCTCCTTCCTCTATACCTCTCCTCACCTGATATGCTCTGCTGGAGGACTCTGCTCCTTCCTCTATACCTCTCCTCACCTGATATGCTCTGCTGGAGGACTCTGCTCCTTCCTCTATACCTCTCCTCACCTGATATGCTCTGCTGGAGGACTCTGCTCCTTCCTCTATACCTCTCCTCACCTGATATGCTCTGCTGGAGGACTCTGCTCCTTCCTCTATACCTCTCCTCACCTGATATGCTCTGCTGGAGGACTCTGCTCCTTCCTCTATACCTCTCCTCACCTGATATGCTCTGCTGGAGGACTCTGCTCCTTCCTCTATACCTCTCCTCACCTGATATGCTCTGCTGGAGGACTCTGCTCCTTCCTCTATACCTCTCCTCACCTGATATGCTCTGCTGGAGGACTCTGCTCCTTCCTCTATACCTCTCCTCACCTGATATGCTCTGCTGGAGGACTCTGCTCCTTCCTCTATACCTCTCCTCACCTGATATGCTCTGCTGGAGGACTCTGCTCCTTCCTCTATACCTCTCCTCACCTGATATGCTCTGCTGGAGGACTCTGCTCCTTCCTCTATACCTCTCCTCACCTGATATGCTCTGCTGGAGGACTCTGCTCCTTCCTCTATACCTCTCCTCACCTGATATGCTCTGCTGGAGGACTCTGCTCCTTCCTCTATACCTCTCCTCACCTGATATGCTCTGCTGGAGGACTCTGCTCCTTCCTCTATACCTCTCCTCACCTGATATGCTCTGCTGGAGGACTCTGCTCCTTCCTCTATACCTCTCCTCACCTGATATGCTCTGCTGGAGGACTCTGCTCCTTCCTCTATACCTCTCCTCACCTGATATGCTCTGCTGGAGGACTCTGCTCCTTCCTCTATACCTCTCCTCACCTGATATGCTCTGCTGGAGGACTCTGCTCCTTCCTCTATACCTCTCCTCACCTGATATGCTCTGCTGGAGGACTCTGCTCCTTCCTCTATACCTCTCCTCACCTGATATGCTCTGCTGGAGGACTCTGCTCCTTCCTCTATACCTCTCCTCACCTGATATGCTCTGCTGGAGGACTCTGCTCCTTCCTCTATACCTCTCCTCACCTGATATGCTCTGCTGGAGGACTCTGCTCCTTCCTCTATACCTCTCCTCACCTGATATGCTCTGCTGGAGGACTCTGCTCCTTCCTCTATACCTCTCCTCACCTGATATGCTCTGCTGGAGGACTCTGCTCCTTCCTCTATAACTCTCCTCTCCTGAGATACTCTGCTCTGCTAGAGGACTCTGCTCCTTCCTCTATAACTCTCCTGAGATACTCTGCTAGAGGACTCTGCTCCTCCTACCAGCTCCTATGTATGTAAATATACTGTGTTGCTGAAAGAGGGGGGCTCTTCTCATTTCATTATTTCAGGCTGCACCATAAGGCCCCATTCACACTGATCGATTTATCGCGCGGTAATTCCCCGCGATATCGCGGCTATTTACCGCGCGATATCGCTCTCCAATGCATGGCAATGGGGCTCTGTCCCGTCGCTGTCGCGTGTCGCTACAGCAGGACCCTTTTTAGAGTGGATTTTGCCGCGATTCTAGCTTGCTCAATGCAAGCATTTGCGTGACAGTCGCGCGTTATCGCGCAAAATGCAAATCGCGCGTTTTGCGAATCACTCAGTGACACCCACAGAAACAGAATATAGAGAAGCAGAGAACGCCCGCTGCACTGCTCTGCACATTGAATGATTATTTTCCTAGTGTTTCCTAGTGTCAGCCCAGAGTTTGTTGGCTGCTGTCCGCACTAATCTGCCAAGGGATGACATCCATTAATCTCCTATGTTCCCCTCGCCTTCCATTACAGAACAGGTAGTATTTGCCTGGGAGGAAGGTGTACAGTTCTCACAGTGACACATTAACCCATGCAGCCCCAGAAGAAGCTGCTGCTGATGACAGGTTATCATTTGCCTTCAGTACAGCTCGCAGGAACATATTGATCTTCCCCATTCTGGCCACCCAGATCCAGTGAGTTCTGAGCCTGGAGCTGCTCAGCTTTACCTCACAAACAGCCAACAGAAAACCGCTGTGGTGAGCAATTCCCTTCAAGACCTTGATTAATTAAAGGCAGCTGTTTAATTTATCCAAGCCGTAGAGCTGACAGTGCTATTAGTGGCTTTTATAATTATACAGGTGGACGTTCCTTGCACCTCGTGAAGTTTTACCTCGGCCTTTTCTCCACGAACATTAGCTGCAAATTGAGTCACTCAACGGATAAAGCACTAAAAATATTTTACTGCAACACTACTGTACAATATACACAGCCTAGCGATCTTCACCACACAATGCTGGAGGTCTACGGTGACTGTACCGTGTTTCCCCGAAAATAGGACACTGTCTTATATTTGTTTGTCTCAAAAAAAAAAAAAACACACTAGGTCTTACTTTCGGGGTAGGTCTTATTTATTTATTTTAATGTACAACAATCCACACTTATTTATGTGGAAAAGTCTACATGTATTCATGTACAGAAATATGGTGATCGGGGCAATCAGGGGCGCCGTACCTTTCAATTTGCTAACCAATCGCTGGCCAGAATGGGGGAAGCGCACTTTCACTATCGATTCCTCACAGGCGGAGTGCATTTGGTATCACAGGAGGCGGGGCTATAGAGGAAGCATCGGCTTATGCGGCTCTGCTCCCTCCGCTGCCGCCTCGCTTCCTCTAGCGCCGGCTTCGTTGGCACCGCTGATTCTCTCCCGCGGCTCTTCAAGTTTTCCCTTATGCCACCACCGGCCTTGGGAATGGTCACAACTAGGTCTTATTTTCGGGGTAGGTCTTCTATTTTTTAGCAATTCCACAAAATAGTACTAGATCTTATTTTCATGGTAGGTCTTATTTTCGGGGGAAACAGGGTATTACTATAATTATCACTAGGGACGCACCGATACTTTTTGAGTACCAGTGCAGATACTTGGCATTTTCATGAGAACTACCGGGGTTGCAGCGGTTGCAGCTGGGCCCGGGCTCTGGTACTCCACCACTGTCCTGAAATCATTAGTCTGTATTGTTTTAGAAAAACTGTCACATGACACTAAACAAAAATGTATCAGCACTCGTACTCGCAACACTGGTATCGGTGCATCCCTTATACATATTTATAAAAACAAAAACATTAAAACAGAGATGTAGAAATCCCGGGAGCTCCGTGTGCTCCTTACACATGACAGCCGCCTCCTAACTATTGAATTTTTCTCTAGTCTAGTCTTGGAGCTGGAAAAGTATCTGTACATGTACCGAGTGCGATACTTGGTATCGGTGCATCCCTAATTATCACTGAGGCTTATGGGATTTCTCCAACCTGACATAGGTAACCAAATCACTGAAATCTCTCCTGCAACACAATCGACCTAATTCCCTAAGGCTGGGTTCACACCTGAGCGTATTTTTAAGCTAGTTTTTTTCCCGTGCTTTTTAGCGCGTTTCACTGTCGGTATGAATTTTTTTTTTCCTTTATTTCGATGTCGAGATCCGCCCAGCTGCATGAGTGACAGCTGGCTCTGCCTATCTAGAGGCAGAGCCAGCTGTACCCGCCCCTTCCACCGTCCGTTACGCCAGTCAGCGCTGGTGGATCGCAGCGGGGAGGGGGGAATCCAGCCCCTGTCAGAGAGGTGAGTGAACGCCGGTATGTGTTCGCTCACCTCCCGATCTACTGAGCCGACCTGTGACAGTCTCATTGTCACAGGTCGGCTAGAACTATGAGGTGAGTGAAAAGCACTCACCTCATAGTTCTCCTTTAAGTGGTGTCTGTGTCCTTTCTGGTGAGATCCAAGAGAAGGATGAGCAACCCAAATCTCCCGAGAATGCACTCATGCATGGTGCAAGAAAGTGATGGTGATCTGAAACCCTCACGTAGGTGCCAAAGGGGGGAGATGGGGTAAGAAAAGTGTATTTACCAACTTTTTTCCGGACAGGTTTTTTTTATTCTTCTATTTTACCATTTTGGCATAAATAAATAGGTGGATTGAGCATTTTCAATGTAAGGTCCGATGTAAGAAAAGTTGATAGCGATTTTAAAGGGGTGGGGCTTATTAAATCTAACCCATATCATGGGAGTGTGTGATAGCGATGATATTAACATTGCAGGAATATGTCTTTGTACAGCAAACCTATAACAGCGTTATCAATCATATTCTCTCTTAACAGGTTCATCTCCGCTCCGGTCATACCCGCTTCTCTCCGTCATCACCCGCCAGCCCAATGTTCTTTCCCACTTGATCCCTTCGCCTTCGTCCTTGCACATACCTGTGCTCTCCCCCACACATCTCTCTTCGCCTTGTGCGCGATCGGAGACCCCCGCCAGTGAAGCCCCCCAAAGCAGCGAATCAGAGATCGAGCAGGCGGCCCCTCGTGTGAAGAAGCCACGGCGCAGCAGAACGATCTTCACTGAAATGCAACTCATGGGACTGGAGAAGAAGTTCCAGAAACAGAAGTATCTCTCAACTCCAGACCGGTAAGTCAAAGATGAAAATTTGTGCAGACTGGGACTTAGGGGCCCATTTACATGAGATGAAGGATGGGTGGGTGCTGAGGTCGCCTTCCGATGTCACTTAGACCTGGAACAGAAAGTAAATAATGGGAGCATGTGATGCCTTCCAAGTGGTGTCACAGAACCTCCCTTCACTTCCTGCCTGGCCAGCACTGGTGCTCCTCACATATCCTCCTGACAACCATTTGACAGCAAGCAGAGGGGGGTTTGATGCCTGACACTAGTTTAATATTATGGACCATGAGAGGGTTCAGGGCATTATAAACTTTATTCTACCCCTGCATCAGAACACAGCTAATACATGTCTACACTCGGGCATTAACTGAATTAGGGAGACCAAAATTGTTAAACTGATATAGTGCAACCAAGTATGGGGTTCAAGTCCAGAGAATAGATGTATGAGTGGAGTTACGGCACATGTGACCACCATGTAAACCAAGCTGCACACACTGAAAGTTCTTTGTAACTTTAGTCGGCCAAAAATTTGAGAACAGCATATGCTGCTCTGGCTGTTTTTTACTCTTATGTCTATGGTACCAGCACACAGCCCAACTGTTCTGAATGGGAATGCAATTGATCAGACAGTTCTCTAATCCTCTGCCAGTTGCCACTGTTCCCCTGCAGATAACCTCTAGAGATGTCTACCGCCATCCTCATTGGGTTCACCATACGTTTATACGCTGAGTGGCCGGATTATTATATACACCGAGTGGCCGGATTATTATATACACCGAGTGGCCGGATTATTATATACACCGAGTGGCCGGATTATTATATACACCGAGTGGCC